GTGTTTAACGCCCCCCAGGCTTCAAAATGGCCATAACGCCGAGGAGCGTTAAGGGTAGTACCAGTGCTCTAAGCAACCATGTCATATCTAGTATCTACACCATGAGTTACATTACATCATCACGCTCTATATAAAAATACTCCGTATTTTGTTGGTGTGAGTCTAAGTTATGATTTTTTTTTAATCAATTATTTTCAATCTTTGAATATAATTAAATAAAATATATACTTTACATTAATTAGACGTAATAATATTTTGAAAACATTTTATATAATAAATCTAATAGATTTATTTTTGTATCAATATCTAATACGAGTATTATTTTTATTTAATTTGGAGTCAAATTTAATAATTTTGACTGAAAAAAAGTCAAAAATGGACAAATACTACACGATAGAGGAAGTATAAAGCATTTCGATGTACATCATGGTATGACCAATTGCCGACCAATTAATTAATATTGCTCCAAGAAATAATCATTTTTTGTTCTCCTTTTCTGTAAAATGACAAGAAAAGCCGGGATTTTGGAATGAAAAACTCCTTAAAAGAGATTTTGGTCCAAGTAGATTGGAAAGAATTTATGGAAAATGGTAGAAAAAGGTTAAAATTTATGAAAACGCCTCCTAGATCTAAGAAAGAAGTGTGTGAGATGTGTCGCTTCCATTAGCGCGAAATGACAGAAAGACTCTTCCAACAAACCAACAAAATGTCACTGTTTGTGACCGTTACTTCAAAAATTTAATAAAAATATTAAAAGATTGTAATTTATGAAAACGCCTCCTAGATCTAAGAAAGAAGTGTGTGATACGTGTCGCTTCCATTAGCGCGAAACGATAGAAAGACCATTCCAACAAAGCAACAAAATGTCACTGTTTGTGACCGTTACTTCAAAAATTTAATAGAAATATTAAAATTAATGAACCACCGTTAAGTTGTCGTCGAAGAAAGACGATAATTGTTGAGGGGGCCATGCGATATCGTTTGAAGGCCCATCCGATCCTTAACCCCCCGACCAATCTTCAAAAATGATATGCCTTTTCTCTCTTCGAAACGGTTATACTCTTCGTTCTCCTTGGTTGTTTTTGCCGTTGTCAACCCTTGTATTTTGTCGTCGGATACCTTTGATTACTACCACACTTTTGTTTGCTATAGAGAAAACAGATGCAAATGATACGGTCATGTACAAGAGAAGAAGAACTCTCACCCAGGCACAAAAGAAGGAGATCGAGAACGCAAACCAGGTAATTTCTAGTATCCCTCACTTCAAATTAAGTTTCCACGGATTTTAAATTTAATTTTAAATATGCTCTTTTGAACATGGTGTCAGATTTCCGATGAAGTAAATCAATCTCTAGAAGGTGAATCTCTCCTTGACGACTCTGAAATTGAAGTACATTACATGTACACCAAAATATAATATTTTAATCAACATTTGCTTGAGACTGATTAATTCAGATGCACAACAAGTCATTCGACCATGAAACTCTTTAATATAATGTTACGGCAATCGAATATGGTCGATGGGCAGTGATGGTCGATAGGCCTTCGAAAAGATTTTAAAATACTTTTGTATTTTTATTTCACATTGCAGGATTGAAATGCACCATTGAAATGAAGAAGTTACTTAGAATGAAGTTGACTTTGAAATCTTCTTTGGGAGAGTTCCAAGCTCTGATGAGTGATGGAGTAGGTGATCATCTAGAAGTCTTGACTTTGTTTAGGGAGAATAGCTCTTTTGCACATTTTTGGATGTTGAGTGTATTCTTCCCCTTTGTTTTTATGACAAATCATTGCAAGGGAATCCAAAATAAAGAGGCAAGAAGAGAGATGTGGTTTCTTAAAGGAGTTCCTGCAAGGTACTCATTGATGGAGTTTTCCCTCATTAGTTGCCTGAACTACTCTAAGCTAAACGCTAGCTTCGAATCGTCAAATGATTCGACCTCAACCAAGAATAATTTTCTTCTAACACACTTTCCTTCGGCAAAGAAGGGAAAGAAGTCTGTTCAGTTACATGCAAGATGGTTGTGCAGCATTTCCACAACATGTGTAAAGACTTGGACAGTGAAAAGAATGAAGCCCAACAGATGAAGGCTGTGAAAATGGCCACACTTTTATTTATTTATTATTGTTGTTGTGTTAGGTCTTTCCAATCGCAACAAGTCTACTAAATCAGTGTGGATACTCGGCTTGATTGGACAGTGGAGAGCAATTAGAGAGTTCTCATGGGGAACATGGACATTTATGGAGTCCTTAGGGTCACCGAAGAAGGACCTAGCTGCTAAGGCCAAATCAGTGTCAAGTGGGAGCTCATCAACAATGTTTTTACACTATTTTCTTGCTTCCCATTGGGGCAAGAAACTTTTCAATTATAATAATTGCTTTACTGATTTGTAATGAGATGTCATTTAAACTTTCAATATGAAAAGATCCTTTTTTTTGGAGAGTTGCCCTCGGGTTGCAATCAAGATTACAACGAGAAGACAACAAACATCCCTAGGCCAAGAATCTCCCTTTGGAGTGAAATTTCGATGAAGAAGAAAATCACCCACACGGGAATGGATGGTTGCATTGGTGATCTACAAGCATATACATATTATTGGTCAAAATTGATTAAGAATAGGGGTGAGCATGGTACGGTATTGTACGGTATTTAGCTCGTACCGATACCGTACCAAATATTTCGGTTCGGTATGGGATTTTACTCCGTACCGATCCCGATCCCGAAATATCGGTTCGGTATGGTTCGGGATGGTTCAGTATCGGTTTCGGTACAAATCGGGATGAATATACATACCTACTTGCACATTAAAATTTAACAACGCCGCTTTATTTTTGAAAATTAAAAGTGAATTTAAATAAAAAACATGAAAAATTTAAAAAAAATGAATACTTAAATGCAAGAGTTGCCTATCAAAACTTAGTTTTGTATTTCACAAACTAAAAAAATGAACGACAACAAAGAAGTATTTCGAATCTTTGTGAATACTTTTATGTTCATACACAAATACTAAAACTCAAATAAAAGTATAATTTACACATAATAGAACTTGAACCGATTTTTTTTAAAAAAATTATTATTTAGTGAAGGAATATAAAAATATTACTCTGGGGTATTATTTTTTATAATATTTTAGTATATATGTTCGGTTTGGGATTTTTGGTATGGGACATCACCTCGTACCATTCCCAAATACCGTACCGACCATTCGGTACGGTTTGGTTCCTTCTTGGTATTTTTTCGGTTCGGTATTCTCGGTGTTTTTAGGAAATTTCGGTATTGGTTCGGTACTTGCTCACACCTAATTAAGAATTCAGGATAATAAGTTGTCATTGTCTTGGTTGCAGGCTGTACAGAGCATTCTTTGTCCTTACAAGTTTGAGCGTACTGTAGAGTGGCTCATCAACTTTCATTTTCTGCATACCACACCACACCCTGAGTTAGATGCATTTGTGCCTCCAACTATATTATTTCTTGGATTCGCCACTGACTCCGCTTAACATTGACGATAGAGGCTTGAAACAATTATGTCAATTAATATTAGGACATTGAATAATTTTTTAAAAATACAAATTAATTGTGAAAACATTAATATCAAAAAATCATACTAGAGAAACCCTACATTTGACATTATATTATCTCAGAAAAAGTTCTCACAGACACTTATTGTTAGTGTGTACGTATGAGACAAGATACTGTCAAATGTGATGTCAAATGTGACTCCCCCAACCATCTTAAAAACTAACATTAGATAGTTAAATCATTGGCAAACAGATCTAGAGTTTAGCTTTTCTAATATTTCAAAAAAGCTATTGATATTGATATACACCGTAAGAAACGACTCCCAAACGGCGCCCAACGTATCAACCACCATGTTCCCATTGTCATGGATTGATCCAACAATATGGAATTGGTTTCATACTTTCATCAATCTTGAACTCATGCTAATTTCCAAAAACATACTCCCTCTTCTATATCCACCATGGTGTTTTGGTAGATCCGTTCAAAACTCTACATATCTGTTCTGATGAAGAGAGTTGCAGACAACAATGGCAAAGTTAGCAAAAAATCAAAAGGAGACTGGAAAACAAAAAAGTGTGGTGAAGAAGAAAAGCGAAGGTGATGGGTACGGTTGGGTTTGATGGAAGACAAAGGCTTGCATTCCGTTCGTCTAATTGAATCAGATCAGATTTTTTGAGACCAGATATGGTCTGATTTGATTCAACTATAATTAAAGATGTTTCTGATATTACCAAAAAATTATGGAGGACCTTCGTAATAATGGAGGACGTGAATAAATCAACCAAATTCAAACCTGGAGTTAGCTCATGATAATGAAGATCCATTTCAAATACTAGTAGCAGCATAATGGAAACAAACAGAAAGTATCTCAAAAGAAAAGAGTACAACGCCAAAACTTTGATGAAGGATAAGCCAAATTCAAGTTTCAACAAGAGGGGCGACACAACAGAGGATGTTCTTGCAAATAAGTGAAAAAATCCCATAGGACAAGCAGAGCAAGAGCAGCTGCAAGACAGTATTTATTAATCTTAGCGGTAGCGACGGAGGGAAAGAGTCTGGTTCCTCTTCCAGGTGGCCCTTCTTGAGGGTCGTGCCTTGTGAAACCTGTGTCCCTTGCCATTGAGACCCCTATTCTTCTTTCCAGCCGAGGTCAGTCCGCGGAGCTCTCTGTGCTTGTGGACAGGGTTGACAAGCCAGTTGATCCGAGGATCGTTACGGATTGCATTGTGGGCAACATCAACCAAGATTACCTCGTAGTACTTGTATGTCGAGTCCTGCATTTCAAATGTTTTTGTTAATTGCTTGCAGAGGGCAAATATTACTATAAGATCACATCAGAAATAGCACACTGAAGATGAAAAGACTGAGCAAGAACCTCATTGATCCAGTAAGAGTTGAGAACCCTGAGGCCCCCAAGTTTCCTGCCAGCACGTTCCTCTGCAACTGAGCGCTTGCTTCGCTGAAACTTCAGCTGAGTAACACCCTGATTTGTGGGTTTCCCATACACAATACCCTTGGGCACAAGTCTCTTTCTCCCCCCACGCCTCACACGCACACGGTAGATAACATACCCCTAAATAAAGAAATGTTATATTTTTCAGCAAATTATCTAATGGTGGATAACCAACTGCTTTAAGGAGAGCAACATACAACAACCCCAGAGAATTTCCCAGTATCAGCAAATTCATGGGTAACTTCAAATCAAGTTATGTACTAATAGAAAATTGTTTTTGCAAAATGCCTCACAATATTTGAATTGAAAAGTATAAAACAGCTTCCATGCCATAGAATCCATGTGTTACAACAAAAGTCACACAAAAGAGTTAGTGGCTGGTCAGTTAAAGATGTCAAGGATAAGCCAACATAAGAAACTAATAAACGAACACAGTGAAAAGAATAATGTTCTTTTCATTCCTAGATGAATATGTCAATTTGAATCTGCCAAAATGAGTGGGTTGAACCACAAAACAACACAGAGCATCTTAATGGCAAACAATTGCAATTTCAATCGGAGTTTCAGAATATCAGCAAGCCATTTTATAGTAAAAAATTCCAATATTGTTCTCCAAACAAGTTCAAATTTGTTTTCTTTCAATGGGAGATTTAAACTGAAGTAGATCTGGTGTCAATTCACAAAAAGTACCATTTTGAAGGGAGTCAATTATAACAAAATGGCGATAGAGGATATATGAACCAGTAATTAACTGTTTCAGCAGAGAAGGTGAAGAACACAAGCGAACATCCAAATTTCAAAGCGTCTGTTCAAAAAGTACGAGCCACACAAAAAAATGAAATGATACGCCAACATGAATCAAATGCACGCAACAAAAACAAATCAAACACAAGCTTACAGAAAAGACAAACAACAAAAATACATAGAAAAAGAAGAAGGATTGTTGGTAAAAACATACCTGCTTGGCCTTGTAGCCAAGGCGGCGAGCCTTGTCGGGACGAGTAGGCCTCCTGATGCGCACAATCGAAGGAAGCTGGCGGTACTCCCAGCACCTAATCCTCAGAATGAACCTCATCACATCGGATTGCTTCTTCCTCCATAGCTCCGAAACATATGAGTACGCACCTGAAATTCAACGAATCAGAACAGCATAGCACCGATTAATGCATACATTTTCCTTAGATCTATAGAGAAACAGAGAGAATTCCTAAGGTTAGGACTTACCCATGTTGATGCAGCTCGACGCAGAGATTCCGGACGCGAAGAGAAAGCTCAGAGAACGTTTTAAAGAACGGCAGTGCTATCCCTAGTTTGATCAGATTTTATGGGCTTCCTTGGCAACATTAGGGCACACATGAATTGGGCCGCAACAATTCGGAAAACCTTTACCCACGGTCCATTCTAATCTCTTTGAAAAACATGCTCCCTCAATCTTTAAAAAAAACTCTCAGGCTCCGTTTGGTATATGGAATTCAAACTATGGAATTGGAATTGAGGACCTCAATTCCAATTCTGGTGTTTGGTAGCACAAAAATTATGTGGATTTGGAATTGATAGTGCAAAAAATGAATTAGAATTGACAAAATTCAATTCTATGGAATTGAATTCCATGGAATTTCAATTCCAATTCAATTCCAATTCTGTCAATTCCGCATACCAAACGGACCCTCATTTTTTTTAGAACTTTTTTTTGAAAATCTTGAATGATTTACAATTTTTCATTCTTCTCTACATCACTTTTAACCAATCATTTTCACTTACCTTGAATTTTATACTTAGTCGAACTGTGAGCCTTTATTTACGACGAATTTGGAAAAGGGAAAATTCACAAAAATACTCAAGAGTTTCTCAACTTTATGACATCATTCCCAAATGCAACTTATAACTCTTTTGCTCCTAAAAAAGGAGTAATTTTTATCTATATTTACTTTCATGTTGTCCAATCATCCCATTTTGTAATCCTATATATCCTATCCTATATTTTTATATATCTTTAAAATTTGAGAGTTGAACTCTCAGAATTGCGACATGTGTCGAGTCCACTTGGCAAAATTTTAACATATCATCCGTCACCTATTACTGACTAAATGATGTGCCAATTTTAATCAAAACATATAGTATATGCCTTATATACAAAGTGTTAATGTCGTTTTTTAGAATCTTTATTTTTATACATTAACTTTGAGAGTTGGCTTCTAAAATTGTGAGATGATTCATGCTTATTAGACAATTTATTTACATGACAGCCAATCATGTCGGTCAACAAACGTTGATCGGAATTTTTCTTATTGTTTTCGTTATGATTTATATCGATCTTCCTATTTTTTCATTCGAAATTAGCTTCTTCCCGAACTTTTCTTATTGTATTCTTTTTGAACAAATGATATTCAGCTATTATTTTCTTAAAAAATGAAATAATATAAGTTGATATTTAAATATTTTTAAAAAAAATTAATAATGTATACTATGTATATTAAAAGGAAAAAAATAATAGATGGATAAATAATCCACTTGTATTATGTGCAATAAGTTAATTATTAATTACTTTTCACAATCGAATAATTTATGATATAACATTAATTGTTATAAATGCAATTATGATCAAATAATATTTTTAAATACTAATTATTATATTCTTGGTTAAAAATGAGTTGTTATATTTTTAAATGGTACATGGTTGTTTATGAAAAAGTACATAGAATTTAGAAATTATAACAAGTTATTACTAGATAAAATGTATAAAATCTTTAATATTTATAAATTTAAAGGCAAAAAAGTTATACATGGTCTGTAATGTCTTTAAAGGAGAAAAGTACATTTGGTTCGTAACCAACTCTCAAGTTTTTATTTGAAAAACTATCATGTATAAAAAATAAAAAAAAAATTTATAACACATGCCAAAAAGGCTACTGAGTTAGGATATGGGAAACAATTAAGATAATTGTTCGTGACATCATTATTGCGAAATATCATGAGTCACCCGCAAATTGTTTGGAAAAAATCATGAGAACTCCTAATGGATGAAATTTTATTTCATCAAAATAGAATATTGTGTAATCAAGGTATTTCAATAGAAAAAATAGTGTTTTTAAACATATTGATCCATATGTAATATATTTTTTTGAAATCAAATTCTTTAATTGAGTACTATGTAGAACTAATTATGTCACATTTTTTCTAATTTTTTCTGAGCATATAATTTCCCAAAAAGATCTAATGAATTTATGTCTGATTGAAATTAAAAAGTTGCTTAATTCAAATGGACAGTATTTAAGGGAATTTAGTGGATGTCATTCACAGATGACAGTCCACTTAATAGATTTCAAGATAATTTCTTGGTATAAGAATTAACTATGATAAAGAAAGTCATCTGATCTTATGGGATACTTATCTACAATGAATGAAATCAGCACAAGATATACGATGAAATACTAAAAATTGTGAAAATTGAAAGAGGAGGTTTCTTATTTGTATATGGTTACGATGGAAGTGGTAAAATATTTCTAGTGGCATTGCAACATTGCTTTTGCCTGAGGAAGGACAACACACTTGAGATTTTTAATCCTTCTAGCACTAGCCAAGTGCTTAACGTGTACCATCAAACAAGAAAGTCTGAAAGGAGAACTAATCCAATAAGCAAGTCTAATCGTATGGGATGAAGTATGTATAATGAATAGATTTTCTTTTGAGGCATTGGATCACACATTGAGAGATGTAACGAGTTTCTCAAATAAAAATTCGAGAAATGAACCATTCGAAGGGAAAAGAGTTGTACTGGGAGGTGGTTTTTGGAAAATTCTTCCTGTTTTACCCAGAGTTTTAAGAGAGGAAATTGTAGGTACTACCATCAATTATTCAAAAATATGGTCGTATTGTAAACTTTATACGTTGAAGGAGAATATGAGATTGTATTCATCGACGTCCTCTTGCGCAAATAGGGACACACAAGCCTTTTCTAATTGGATGATCAAAGTTGAAGATAGAAAGCTTGGACATGTGGGTGGTTCGAAGGGTGTGCAAAGTGGTCAACCGCACAGGGTCCCTAAAATTTTAGGGCTTCATATTTTTAAATTTATCATTAATTTGAAAGCATAAGTATTCTAAAATAATAAAATAGAGCCCAAAATGTAAATTTTGGACCGAGCCAATTTCTTTTTTTATTTTTCGAGACCCGCCCTGCGGGTTGGACAAATGATTGATGGAAGAAATGAAGTTGAAATTCCTTCCATATTGATGATTATAGACACAAGTTAACCCCTAAAGAGTATAGTGGATTTCACTTATCTGAACCTATTGGATACTATGAAAAGTTATTCTTTTTTCGAGAATAGAGCACTACCGGCACTCATGCTTGAGGTTATAGAAATGGTAAATGAATGTCATATCCCTGATTCCCAAAGATGAAATGGTGTATCCGAGTTCTAATTCTTAATGCCAGGTAGGTTCAGATCTAGGTGTTGATAAGGATTAGATAACAGTTGAGTTTTTGAATAATTCAAATGTTCCAAGATCCCAAACCACAAAAATAATTTTTAAAGAGGGGGTACCAATTATATTATTGGGGAACATTGACCAAACATCTGGATTATGTAATGTTACAAGATTAATCATTGAAAAGCTGCAAAAGAGCGTTATAGATACTTTTATGGTTTTGGGAAATTCAGTCGGGGAAAAAGTTTACATATCTCAGATGAATTTGGTACTATCTAATCTAATTACTCTTGAAGTTCTAGAGAAGACAATTCCCAATAGTCTTATGCATTGTAATGACTATCAACAAAAGTCAAGGTCAAACATTGTCATTTGTTGGATTATTTTTAACCAATTCGTTCTTCATTGATGGTTAACTCTATTTTGTTGTTTTAAGAGTCAAGACAATTACAAGATTAAAAATATTGGTTTCAAATGACAAATGAAACCATTGCAACCATACCAAAATAGTTATATACCCTAAAATTTATCAAAAAATTGGTATTAAAAAAACTTTGTTGAGTACACATTCAATCCTCAAAAAATATTTATTCTACTTTGGAAATTTTGTCTATAGTATTAATAATCATGTCAGAATAATATATAATTTTTTTGAAAAAATATTGCCTTTAAAAGGTTTTAGAATCGACAAAAATTCAGTTCGACCCCATGCGTCGCACGGGCTAGAATACTAGTATATATATGTAAAGTTGAGTGTGTTGGTTGTGGTGTTGACATGTGGCATGCCACGTGTGCACTAATTAATGAGGTGGAGGCATTTCATTGGTTCATTAAGCTTCTTTTTTAAAAAGATCTTTTATTATATTTTATTGTATTATATCAAATGAATATTATTTTTTAGCATTAAAAAACATTACTTTGATTATATTTTGTATAAAATTTCAAAAGTATAGTACTCGAATTCACTTATCTGAACTTATTGGAGAATATGAAAAAATATTCTTTTTTAGGATATGGTACTATTAGCACCCACTCTCAAAGTTGTTGAAATGGTAAATGAGTTTGTTCTATTCATCATTCCCGGTGATGAAAAAGGAGTACTTGAGTTATGATTCTTAATGGCAAGCAGATGCCATTCTAGGTGTTGATGCTGATTGGATAACATTTAAATTTTTGAATGAAATCAAATGTTCGGATGTTCGTGGATCCCAAACCGAAAAATAGTTTTGAAGAAAAAGGTTACTGGTTATGTTATTTGGATTGTGTAATGGTACAAGATTAATCGTTGAAGAGCTGCAAAAAACGTTAACCGTGCAATCGTGGTTTCGAGAAATCGAGACGGTGAAAACGTTTACATATCTCGAATAAATTTGGTACCATATGCATTGGCGGATCCAGAAATTGCAAGAACTGGGGGGCGAGGCTACTATGGGGGTTCGGGGGTAGCGCTTTTGTTTTTTCTTCAAAATAACAATGTGAACTTACAAAAAATATTATTTTTACTCAGTAACGCATTCAAATAATTAATGAAAAATCTTAAAAATATTTCCTATAATTTTATTTGCTCTAAATAATTTTTAATTTTGACTCAATTAAATTTTAAATATTTTGTTTTTAATGGTAGATATTTAATTTTTTACTTAAAATTTATTTTTTATTATGGGCATTTTATTTTTTTCAATGGGGGCATAACTTTTTTTTTTAAAAAAAACTTAAGGTACTACAATGGAAAAATTTGAAATTCATTGGGGGCAATTGCCTCCATTAGCTTATACCTAGATCCGCCCCTGACCATATGATCCAAGGCTACCTTTTAAAGTTTCAAAAAAGACAATTCCCAATAGTTTTATGTTTTGCTATGATTATTAACAAAAATTAAGGTGAAACATTATCTTTTTTAAAATTATTTTAACTAAGTCATTATTCACTTATGGTCAATTTTATGTTGTTGCTTCACGAGTGAAGACAAATATATGATTAAAAATATTTATTTTAGATGACAATAGAAACCCTTGCATCATACCAAAATTGTTATATACCTAGAAGTCATTCAAAAAATTTGGATTTTAATAAGTTTTTGTTTTGTATACTTTCAATTCTTCAAATACTATTTATTCTACTTTGACGTTAATGTACACAATATTAAAAATCATGTAAGAAATTTATTTTCTTTAATCCGCAAAAAATATTACATGGAAAAAATAAGAATCGACAAAAAATTCATTCGGTCCCGTGCATGTCACGGGTCAAAATACTAGTATATGTAAAGCTGAGTGTGTTGGTTGTGGTGTTGACGTGTGGCATGCCACATGTGCATCCACATGTGCACTAATTAATGAGGTGGAGACATTTCATTGGTTCATTAAGCTTCTTTTTTAAAAAGATCTTTTAATACCGAGTATATTTTATTGTATTATATCAAATGAACATTATTTTTTAGCATTAAAAAACATTACTTTGATTATATTTTGTATAAAATTTTAACATTTTCTAAGAATTCTATAAGCACATATTTCACCATTGTAAAATATACTCCGTATTTTAAATATGCATATTGATTGTAACATTTTAAAGAAGAGTATGTATAAGACTCTTTATTATTAATTTAAAAATATTTCACTTTCATAAAAATGAAAAAAACAATTCACCTTCAAAGTTATTAAATTGTTCTTGGCATTTTTATGTTTTATTTAATGTAATATTTTTTAAATAAAATAGTTATAGAATTTTTAGTGCATGTACATCAATATTTAAAGTATACTTTTTATTTTAAAAAACACTTCGTATATCTTAGAGTGAAAAAATATTCATTTAAAATACGGAGTAAACAAAACTATATTTATAGAATGTCAAAAGTTTAGAATGTATATGTGCTCGTGCGAAGCACGCGCTTAACACTAGTATATGTAATTAAAGAGTTAATATGTACATCTAGGTGGGTGATTAATTATGTTTTGGCATTAAAATAATAAGAGTTGAAATAAATATTACTTTATATATTCTTTAAGTTTCATGAATTTTTATTTAAAAAAAATTTACACCCCAATACCATCTAGCTTCTTTTAACTGTTTTATTTTTTTGCATTTGTAACTTTTTTTAAATTTGCATAAAAAATAACATTTGTGAGTTATTTGAAAGTTTCTTTACTCTGTATTATCATCGTTATTATGCTTCTTTTTCTTTTATTTTTTAAGAGTAAAACAACTCTTTCATCTAAAAACAAAAGTCTCAAATACTTACTTCTTACATGTCAAAGTTTTTCTTAATTACTTTTGTTAATTATTTATTAAAAATATTTATTACTCTGAGCATAAAATTTGTCAATTTGGCCATCTTTGCATTGACAATTATTCTATGCTCGTAACGCTCCTATCACGGATGATTATTCATGTTCAGTTACAATGACGAAAAAACGAACGACCCAAACCAAAGAACAAGAACAAAATTTGAATTCATAAACTATTTGAATTTTACAATAACAAAAAAATTAATTGAAATAACATCCCTCATATTTGGTAAAAAGATAATGCTAGGGTACACCTCTGTCATTTTATTGATAAAAAAGTGGGAAAGTTGCTCTAACAAATAACAATCGGCTTGAATTTCACTTATCCACAACTTTCATTAGCCGCGCGGGGGGAGCACCTGGACAACAATGGCCGCTTCTTCATCTGTAACCCCTACTCTGTCGTCGGCATCTTCCCTCTTATCCAAGCCACCATTGATTCACCCTTCTTCTCCTTCACGAATCGCCTTCAAGATCTTCACGGGTGCCTCAAGGCCTCTGCTGCACTACGCGGAGAGGAGCAAACATTCCGAGATGCCCGCCAATGCGCAGACTTTTGAGTTCTACGAACCATTGTTCCAAGCCGAGTTCATAGACAGTGAAGAGCCGCCGTCTATTCCTCCGTGGAGCATTTCGCTTACAGAAGATAGAGAGGAGCCCCAGTGTCCTCCAGGGCTGAAGCAGTATGAAACGATGATAATTCTTAGGCCCGACGTGACTGAAGATGAGCGCCTAACTCTCACCCAGAAATATGAAGAGGTATTCGACTCGATCAATTGAGAGCTTCTTTGCTGCAAATAGATATATGTGCTTTGTTTGATTCGAAGTATGCTTATGCTCGGAGCTCAATAAAATTTTGGGTGAAGATTTCAATTTTTGCATTTGATTGCACATTAGGGTTCAAGTGGAGTACTCTTGTATGTGATTTGGTGCATGGCTACATCATTGATGAATACATTCCCTTGAGTCATCATATAGTCTATTTAAGGTAGATAGTAGATATGTGAGAGTACATAAAAGTAAAACTCCGTATTTAACCAAGCTCGATCAGAACTTCATTATCTAATGTTAATTGATATTGCATCAACTGGCACTCTGTTAGATACTCATTATTTCCTTTCTTATGAGATCTTGAGATAGTTATGGAGTCATGGAGATATACCAGTACTCTTTTGCATCTATCTGTATTATATGCCTTTCCAGTTTCATGCATGACAAAACAATTTTCACCACATATTTTCATTTAAATTTATTCAATAGTGAAGTACTTTGATTTTGTATATCTTTCAAGGTCATAATTACTACCGAGTAGTATATTACATGTACGAAGTGTATCTTAGGCTCTTGATACCACATGTTGGCATTGAGCCACTTAGAGGATTTAAAATTGACCCATGATTGAGAAGGTATGACGATAGGACATAAAGCTAATACTCCGTGCAATATAATTCGTACCTATATGATAATGATACAACAACCAAGCCTTAAAATTAGCTGCAGCACCTTCCTTCATATATGTAGTAAAACAGTTAAGAAGAGACGACCTAGCACTCTTTTCCTGTCTTATGGCTGGATATCACCTTCACTAGGAAAGTCAACTAAAGTTTACCCACATCTTATGCATCCATCATTTGTGGCCTGCACACTTGAAAGTGGTTTATGTCTCGAGTTGTTTGCATTTCTTAACTAGAGTTAAAGCTTTATGTGAATGAATGTACAACATTAAATCCAGCATAGTTCCACAAGTGAAGTGTAGGATATGTACAGACCTTGTCTTTATGCCCGATGGATGGAGAGGTTGTTTCCCAAAGACCCTCAGCTCGAAATGAAAATAATCAAGGAAATATGATAAAAGCAAAAATCTAGCAACATTATAACGAGACTGATTACAAGAGTAACACATAATAGTACTCATAAGAAAAGCAGTCTACACTTACCCTAAAACATACTACTAAAGGGGAAAAGGAGATGGTAGGGTAGCCCCCTACCTCACAAACAATAGTGACAAGGAAGCAACCACTTACTAACCTTCTACCATCATCCTCAACCTTCAAATCTTCCTATTGAACATAATGCCCTCTTGTCTATTAACCTCCTTCGAGTGCTTCTAAGTTCTAGCTCTACCTCTCCTAGTATGATTCTAAAACTCTCACAGCTCCAATTTGGTGCATCCTCACCCCCCTTTTCACATGCCCAAACCATCACAATTTTGCTTTCCTCATTTTGTCAACAACATAGGCCGCTCTAATATTGTCTCGTGTCGTTTCTAATCATGTCCCTCTTAGTATAGCTGCACATCCATCTTAGCATTCTCATCTCCATGACTTTTATCTTTTGAACATGAGCATACTTAACTAGCCAGCATTCTGTCACATACAACAATGCTGGTTGAACCATCATTGTGTAGTCGTGTAGAAAGTACCTTTCATTCTATGGGACACCTTATTGGCGTTAATGCAAAGCACCCTGGAGGAAACCCTTAACTAGCCATCAATTGAATGTAGAAAAGCCAATACATTGCCAATAGCTTATGTTCATGTGGCCATTTTTTTCTTTTCTAGCTTTTAAGTAGCAGGCACTAAGTTGCCTAATTGTAGAAAATAACTTTTGAGCAACAGTAGTAAAGAACTCCAAGGTCCTAGCAAGTGTGTTTTGGTTATAAGTGTTGTTGAACACAAGTTGTTTGGTATTTGTCCTATTAAATGAAAACTGTTTTGGGTTGAAAAGGTAACATTTGATTTTGAAAGGCAGGCAAGGAATTCTGTTAGAATGAATAGTTTTGGAAGCAAGCTTTTAATAAGTTCTTTTCAGTAAAAGAGAATTTGGAGACGGAGAAAACATATATGTTTCTGCTTTTAGATTTTCTAAAATCGATTGTAGACCACTCCTTTGCCAAACAGAGCCTTAGTTTCTTATATTCAATTCTTTCTGCATCGTCATATTAGTGTGTACATAAGACATGTCGTGGCAGTTCTGCCTAATCCTTTGAACTAAGCTAGCTGCATTTAGTTGGACATTATGGAAGCTCAATTCAAATAAACTAATTTAACCTGTGACTCTGTGTGATAAAAGAACCAGATTTTAGTGAAACATTTAGAGGCATTTTTTCTTCTTTGCATTATCTGTATGGTGGTATTATGTTTATTAAATGAATGAACGCATGATTCTGTCCCTAGACCATATTTTTTCAATTTGATCCTCAACTTTCTTTTGGACTCCATGTGGCATTCGTGTATGCAATTTAAACTTAACTTTGTAAACCAAAACCTAACCAAATAACCATTCTAAATCCCACTCAGATGTAGGGTTTGGGGAGGATAAGATGTATGCAGACCTTATGTCTATTCGAGCTTCGAAGGAGTAGACAAGCTATTCCATGGATACCCTTTAATTTTCTCCATGTCCATGAGGTGTATGAGAAGGTGGATTGTATTGATAGTTGATATCTAAAGTTTTCCATCAGTTTTCCGGTGTATTTTACTAAAACGTTAAGGGTACTTCATCTCTTGAGAAGCAAATTGGGTCCAAGTTTCAAAGTTGAGGACCGAATTGAGTTCTAAGTTGGGTCTAAATTTCATGTATTGTCAAAAACAATCCTCTTATTTTGAACTAACTATTCCAACAACAACCATGTCTTATCCCAAGTAACTTGGGATCGGCAATATCAAATATTAATGAGAACTAAATTGGGTCCAAATTGCATAGCTGAGGACCAAAAGTCTTGGGACAAAACCAACTATTAACTCTATTGAAATTGTTGGTTTCATGCCTACTTGGGTACTGAAACGGTAATGCTAATACCCTTTTGTTTGTGATGTGGATGAGGGCTGAAAACTTTTATGTGAGCATTTTGAATGTCTGATTTCCATTTTAAGAATGATTTAAAACCAGAAACTCGATGACTTAATTACGGAGTATTAAGTATTATATACAGTATTTGTGAAAAACTTATTTGTTTGTACTTTGTTAACCTCTCATACTGCTATTTTTTAAATTAATGACATTACAAAAGTTTCTAATTAATACACTAATGCAATTAAAATAAGGTGAACACACTACCCTTTAGTATCGAAATAACCAAAGTGATTATAATATCCTCATTACCATTAAAAATCACCTACAGTCAATTATAAGTTTAGAACAAACCATATTCTTTATACTTAAATTAGCCTCTAAGAGATATTTGATTCTCATGTTTGAATTTTAGATATGCATATTACACAGCATATTCAAGTCTTCTTCAATATGTTATTCCATTTTTTTTGCAGTTGCTTGCTGCTGGGGGCGGCATGCATGTGGAGGTGTTCAACCGGGGGATTGTTCCTATGGCTTACGAAATTAAGAAGAAAAACATAGCAGGAGAGTCCAACACATACTGGGATGGGATATATCTCTTGTTCACATACTTCACCAAACCAGAGTCTATGGCAGCACTAAGCGCAACACTGGACGCCGATGATGATGTCATCCGTTCATCTACTTTCAAGAAAAGGAAAAGGAAGTATTGATTTGCCTCTTTACGTTGTGTTCTTTGAAGCAAACGGCTATATAATCACGCACGGTTATATGAATATGCAATGTGAGTGGTGTATTATAAAGCAACAACTCATTCTTTTTTTCCTTTCCCCTAGTGTTTGATTGGTTTCGTGTTTTGAAGCTGTTGTGCATATTGATGTCTTATTGGTATATGAGAGGGAATCTGATTGATCCCCACATTATTGGTACAATGTTTTTCTTTAAAAGAAAAAGTGGAATTTTGTTTTTAGTCACAAAAGAAATTTGAAACTTTTATATGCCAACATGGGAGTATGTAGCTATGGGAAATGCATTTTCTCCCTTTTTTCTCATATGGCTACAAAATCTCATGCATGAGACTTATATGATAATTAATCAAAAAACAAATTGTTCACAATGAAAATTATGTGATCAACAATCACAAATTACTTATTCATTGAATGCATTTCAATTACAAGGATAGGAGTGTTTGTAGTCAACAAAGAATCTCTTGACATTGAATTTCAATATCATATTATAACATCCGTTCAAAAGGGGCACTTACGGTGCTCAGATAAAAAAAAAAATTGATGGTTCCTACCCCCACCCCCCAGTCTGGCCCGACCCTAATACACCTCCGCACCTTCTTCAATTGCACTCCTCAAATTTTGTTGACTTTGGGGTAAAAAAATTCAACAAAATATGGAGGGTGCAATTGACGAATGTGCGAAGGCGCATTGGGCTTGGACTGAACTTGGGGACTCATCGGAAGGTTAGGGGTAAGAATCGTCCATTTTTTTTTCAGAACACCGTAGGTATTTGATGTCAAAATATGACATCAAAATTTAATGTCAAAAGAACCGCGGTGTTGTAGAATAGATTTAGGTTAGATATGGAAGGGAAACATTTTGATGAAATGGAGGGAATCCAAACATGTCTAATGGCAAATGAAAATGGCGGATGGTGTATTAGTTGATAGACTTGTGTGAACAATTTGATGTATTGTACCTATGTACAAGTAAAATGACTTGTGTAAAGCCATTTGATGCACCTTTGCCATTTAAACCATTTATATCAAACCTCTACATTGAGTGCCAAGTAATACTCCCAACAAACCCCCCTAAAGTTAATAGAGTATAATTCATTATATAATTTCTGTATATCATTTGTCAAAAATCGACATAAAATACAAAAAACGTACAAATAATATAGAACGGAGTACGCTGTATTATTACGATTCAAAAGGTCATCCCTTCAGTTATCATCCACAATGAGAATGAACAGAATGAAAATCCCCACAGCTTATAAAAGTCAGATTCAAGCATCAAAGTTGTAAAAAGAAGGGGACAATAACCAACTCATCCTGTGCACTTGTTATTAGAGCAAGACAAGAAGCCTTTTATGTGCCTGAAAATCAGGTGGCAAGAAACTCGAGCCTTCTCCTCCGACAAGAACCTAAAAACTCAGAGAAAAGCAAATAAATACAATGGCAATCACGAAGACACTCAAAAGTCAGTCATCATCCTCATCATCTTCATCATCACCCTCCTAACAAAAGGAGAAATCTATACAATCTTTCACTAATTTATATATATATATATATATAAATAAATAAATCGCCATCTTCTAGCGTTCATTACACAGAAACAATCACATCATCCCTGCACAATTTGCGGCCCCGGACCACCACCTCCTCCTCCACCATGGAGGAGCACGATGGAGCAGTGATGATGCACCATGCACCACCTCCCCTTGTGGAATTCGAAAACGTTAGTCATGTAAAATGGCCTCGTGTCTTGTTGAAGATATGCTTTCATGGTGACCCAAGCAGAATCTGGAAACACCCTGGCCCTCACATCCCGAATCTGGAAATCCATGCTTTGCTGCTCCCAGTTAAAAGCAAGCTGCCAGCTTTCTATCACTGCACTGTAACTGTATAATAACCGACAGTGTGTATAGTTAATTAGTGAATATATAAGTATCAAGTCATTAGTATGTTTCCATCATCACTGATGGAACCAAATATTCACAATTTTGGGTTTGGGGTATGGTGGAATAAAGCAAAATGGCTCTTTAAACTGTCTGCACTTCTTTGAAGCGTGACATAGCAGTTAGTCAATGCAACTTTCGACGCTCCTCAGCCGCTCTATGTTTTAAACATAGGGGTTACACTGCGTACATCTGACCCCCTCTCCCCCCTGCCCCGCAATGGGTGGGAGCCTTTGAGGCACTGAGGTAATGGTGTTGTATCAGCTCATTAGTCTGTCTATGGACACGATTTCTTTACTTGGTTGGGGACGACATCCGAGTGTCGATTCTTGACACTATTTCTTTACTTGGTTGTCAGTTTCCTATAGTTGAAAGCATTCCATTGCAATAACAAAGCATTCAACTGCCATTTTGGTTAAACATTGGAGGAATATTGCCTGCTTCGGTCCCCAAATCAGAACTGCAAACAATTTCTACACCCTAACTATACTATCACACACGCCGTCTTTTTTCATGACAAATCACATGAAGGTTCTATTTTGGTTCTTTCTCTATGTTTTACTCCTATTTTAGTCCTTTTCCCTTTAAAGTTTTATATGCTAGCCACACCTTACTATGAAGTTATTTTGAATCTTCAATTCAAAATGCTCTAATGAAATCTAAAGGCATTTCCTAGACACCCAACAGAAAACAAAGAAAGGAATAACCAAACCTCCAACAAAATAAAATGTAAGCACAAGCAGCTTACAAGAAACAGAAAAGAAGTGCAGTTGTGCATTTCATCACCCAATGGCAATTGCGGAGAATATTGAATAACATTTCTACAGGATCATCAATATATCTTTGGAAACACCATTAATTTGGTAAGCTATATTTCCATGTCTTAAACAAAGTGTTGATTTTAATTATATGGGATTGTGCAGGAAATATATCAGTCTATCCTTATAAAAAATGAAACTACAAAAGCTCAGCCTCTTGTTGTATCTTCATCTTGAATACATCAATCCTTCCTTACTATCAAAAATTTCAAGCCAAAATGAAAAATATAGAAACAAATAAATACATAAAACAAATTGCAAATAGCTTAAGAAGACAGAATGCCACATACCCAGTAAAGAACTCTCCATTGGCATGAAAACACTTCACATAATCACCCTTGAGCCACAAATGACCCATTGCAGGGAGTGATTTTTCCCTGATAATCTTAAAAAACTCAGCATTAATGTTCATAATTGCTCTCGTAGATGCATAGTACGCTTTCCATCCATTAGCTGGAGTCACGCTATCCTGTTCCAATGTGAAATCCTAGGAGCACAATTAGGAGCAAAATGTTCAGTTCACACATTCATAAACTATGATCATAATGGATTTTTAAGAAATAGTTGGTTCATTATACAAATGTCATCACTAAAAATGGTAATCAAGGGATAAAATATCGTACTCCGTAGTAAACTCGCATCATATCTTTTCACTTTTTTAAAGCGAAAGAAGTAATCGTATAAGCTATTTCAAATGTTAAAATAAGCATGATCTGAAAGCATTGTTTCACCCTTATAAACCAAACAAACAAAATAAGGGCATCTGGGTTGTATAGGGTCTCGGCCTCTGCCCGTAGAAGTAAAGAGCCAGTTGTAAGGCCCGCTATGGACATATATTGGAGGAACTAAGAGGGCTGTTCCTCCCTTATGAAGCAGCAGATACAAAGTCATGAGTGAACAATTAGTAAACCATTCACATCAGAGAAAATTACTTCGCATTACATTATAGGGAATAAATAGCAATCAAATGAAGTTATAGCACAAGAATTAATACAAAGCTCCATAGTTGAATAGAAACTGAACCTTATGATATAAAGCCTTCCACGCATTATCATCATTTGCAGCCTTCCTCATTAGTGAATTTGTCATTGACAGCCGACAGAGACTGGGATAATCCAAATAGCTGAGAGCATGAGTTGTAATTTCGGGAACCAGCTGTTCCATCATGGAAGCACCGGTCATCCTCTCCCCAGCCACCACTGCCATAGGCCTGCGCTCAACCATCTCTTTCCAACCACTCCCACCACAACTACAACCCTCTACGCCGTTCATAGAAGCTGCCATTTCACCACCCGCACTGAGGTTCCCTATACAGGAACAGAAACAGCTCAAGGACCGGGATTCTGACTTGAAAAGCTTTCTTGATTTTGATCGGAAGGCAAACAGAATGGAGGCAAAGAGGCAGCAAAAAAGGGTGACTGTCAGGGCTATAGAGAAATCTGAAGAGAAGAGGACGCTAATCTCCATTCATAATACATAAACCTGGCCTCCCCGCATTTCATGAACATAAACCCTAGTTCTTTTTTCTCTAAGACGCTTTCCACTATAGAAACGGAATAATTTCCACAACACAATTCAAGAAAATCTTCAAATACCGAAGAGTAGACAGGATACGGTACTTTTCCTGGGAATTTTGTATAATTCTCTTCTCATCGCCCTGCTTAGAAACCCTAGTTTTTCTCTTTGGCACGTTCGGCTGCAGAAACGGACAGATTTAACAAAAAGAATCAAGAAGAACTTCAAATAACGAAGAATAAACGGATCACGGTACTTTTTTTGGGGGGGAATTTGTATGTTTTTCTCTTTGCCAGCGCTCCGCTCAGAAATCTACACGGAGAGAGGTTTCCCGCGGATGGTGGGAGGACGGTAGTTTCAGTGGAAGAAAGCGGAGGGGTGGCTGAAATCAAGAGTATATGGGGGATGAATTAAAGGGTTGTTTAGGGAATTGAATTCTGTATTTTTTTATAGGGAGAATTGAATTCTGTAAATTTGACACTACTTCAGTTTATTAATTAAAAAATTTATTATTAGTGTAATTATAATAAAAAGAACAATAATAATAATAAGAATAAAAAGAAAAATAGTATTTCAATTTATTATAAACACATACGTACTTCTATGGAGAAAAATGTAAATTATAGAGTAAGTATGTTTTAATTAAATGTATACATCCTTAGTACTTCGTACTCCGTATGTAGTAGCAATTTCAAACAAAAGATATTTTATACTCTGTATATTAGTTGTTCTTTCATTTACTTATTATAGTTAGTATATTAAAACATTTAATATATTAACCTATTATTTTTTTTAAAAAAAATATTTTTTATTATTTATAAGTTTTTGTCGTGTGGACCGGGCTGGCCCGAAACCCACGGGCATCCACACGGGTTGGATTCAGGCTTCAATTGTTAGGTCCGCTATACAGATCGGGCCGGTCTCAGACTTAGAAAATTCGATGTAGCGTCTCGATCTAATCTAAAACCCGACCCGGCCCGCACTTTGATCGGGTCTAATCCGGTAGGTAACAAATCCAAATAAAGACAAATGGTTCGTGCTTACCGGACACTTAATAACCATGATAGACATAGTGGATGAACTAACTCCATTTCAATTTGATTAAAGCCCACACCGGTTGTTCAACTAAAAAATCTCTCCTCTTAAAATAATACAATCATATCACCTCTCTCTTGAAATTTTTTAATATAATAATTAAATATATAAATTTTATTTTTAAATTTTATACTTATAATCAAATAAATTGAATTAAGATAACTTTGGTCAAACCTCACAAATTAAAACATGAAGTTATTTTTGGAACAGATGGAGTAAATCCAAGATTTAAGGATCAACGACAGTGTGGAATTTCTTCCACGGTGGTTTGTGCGAACCGAGCACAAGATGGCTTTACTAGATTGAGATTAAATTGTGATTTAGCTCTCTCCCCACTACTGTGTCAGACAGGGATCTGATGATGCCTGGCTGGGCATTTCACCATTACAAACAAGAAAGGATGCTTGATTCCGACTCGACCGATTATGAACAATTAATCATATTCTATTCAAACTAAGGTTGTTTGAGTTGGGGTGTGGAGAGCCAAACCACCTTATTATAAGGTTGTTTGGCTCGTTTGTTAAAGGACAAATTTTTATTCTATTCAAACTTTTCTTAATTATTTATTCGATAAAAAGCTTGAGTATGTGCACATATATTCCACTATTGAGCTCTCATCTTATAAGCACATAGACCCAAATGATGGTCTTACTTTTTAGTGGAGAGTGTTCAATGAGTAAAAGATGTGTATTTTATTTAGAATAAGTTTCATAAATGGTTTTTTATAATATGTGATTTTTTATATATAGGTCATGTTTGAAAAATAGCAGTTGGATGTTGGTTCTTAGTGTTGGCTGGTTGGAATAGCTGACTGAGTTAGATGTTTTGACTGACCGATTGTATTAGCTGTTGAAAAAAAAAAATGTATGACAAATTTGGCAGTTCAAAAATGGCTCTTTGTAAAGAAAATTACATTTAAGGACATGCTAATAGAATATACCCACATATTAATTGGTTTGTTGATCTGTGTACCTGTGGTTTCAACATTAGACAAAATTTGCAAATTCATCATCAAGTGTAATAAATTCATAAATTGATTTTAATATTTTAAAAAGGACATCTAAAAAACTCAAATTAAACCAAAAATTGCACACCTAAGATTTACATCTAAAATGGAAGAATCTGAAAATTTTCAAGATTAAACCAGAAAGGATAAATATACTTAAAAATATAGGGATAACACTTGCAGAGATGCAATGGCAGAATGAGATAAGGGTGAAATCCAAATCTCCAAATCAAGATAAAAGGGCAAAACAGAAAATTACACTTAAATGCCGAATTGTAACGCTGCTCCATATGATGTTTCATACTTCAACATTTTGAATCAAGATGCCAACTTCAAAAGCCTTATTCCAAATAGATAAATAGTGGCTGTTTGACAATTCAAAACAATTCATGGTGGTCACTGAAAATGGCCGACCTGCCATTTACCACACACAGCCATAATCCTTAATTCTAAAATATTACATTTATGAGCCTCGACATTTGAAAACTATTCTATAATTAGTCCTTTGTGGGCTATATGTGAAAAATAGTGTTTGAGCTAAAATGACTCGTTATGGATTGATTCTTAAATATAGACAATAGTGGCTGTTTGACAATTCAAAACAGTTCATGGTGGTCAAACGGCTGAAAATGGCCGACCTGCCATTTACCAAACACAGCCATAATCCCTAATTCTAAAATATTACATTTATGAGGCTCGACATTTGAAACTATTCTATAATTAGTCCTTTGTGGGTTATATGTGAAAAATAATGTTTGAGCTAAAATGACTCGTTATGGATTGATTCTTAAATATAGACAATCATGAACGTAATATCTTAAAGTTGAGGACTTTATAGAGAACTCCGTTGTATGAAGGATCGTTTATGGATTATACTCTTTTATTTATGTTTTAGTGTAAAAATTATATTGATAGATATAAGAAAGAAAATTGTTTTAGAACACATAAGAGATGCTTATTTATCCTTAGCTTAATTATTCTAAATCGAGGGGCTCACCACTATTAGGTGTTAGAGGCTCGATAATTAAACAAGTCAAGCTCGAGAAAATTGATTTTTTAGAAGATAATGTGACTTAGAAATTAGTGTTTGCTAGTGTGCTCTAGTTTATAAAAAGCGTCAAGTCAGTGAGGGTACAAAATCAAATAAAAATTAAATAAGACGGAATCATTGAACGTTACAAGCCTCGTCTTGATGTCTCTGTGAATCATCAAATTGAGAGGCAAAATTACATTTGGTTGTCAAGTTGACACACATTCATAGTGATGGGAACCAAGCCCATCGAGATATTATAAGTAAATTGGGTCTGGGCCCAACTTAAGATCCGTACATTATAAGGAAGATTCGGCCCAAACATGATATAGTGGGCTGGCAGAGGGGAATTGTCCAGGAGACAAGATAGGGAAAGAAGTAAGGATTGGGGGTCTAAGGTATGGGCTGAGATTCAGCCCATTAAGAGCGGGCCACCAAGAGGAAGGAAACCCTACAAAGAGATTACGGTAAGCCGCCCTCTCAAAAGAATTACGAACAGTTATTCCTTGGACAGAGACAGAGAATAATGGACGGACGGACAGATTTTTCCTTAAGTGGATGGTATTAAGCTGAGAAATATATTTCGGGGAAAGATGAGGATTGACCAGATATCCTCTCAACCACCGCGAATATATTGATGAAAAAGTGGCTGGGGAGCTCCTATAAAAGGAGAGAGAACTTAGATAGTAAAGATAACTAGTAATAGATAGAGAGAGAGAGAAGAAACTTGAGTAATAAAAGAATATATTGGCGGTCCTTTAGCATATTCCAATCCCAAGGTGGACCGAATAGAGAAAGGGCCCCCAGTTCGAGTTCATACTTTGTGTGCAATACAATTGATTACAGTTCATTACTCTTTTCTTGTTATTTTCTCACTTTTAAAAGCCCCGGATACTAATATTTAGACCTGGACCGATCAACAGTCTTAGGGAAAATATTAGGCATCCATCATGTATTTTGTTGGTAATGGAAAGAGCTAAATCATGGGAACTTCATCGTATGAATGTGGACCTTCATGAAGAATTCTTTATGTGATTGCCTCAAGGTTTTATGCCCATGTGTTCTAACGTAGTATGCATGCTACGAAATTGTTCTATAGTCTAAATTCTAAAATAAGCATCTCAGTGTTGGTTTGTAAAACTTTCTAGTGATTTAAAGAGATATGATTTTCTTCGGTCTGTATCTAACTATTCTTTATTTTGATATAGATTTAATTGCTCGATTTAAATTTTACTCCCTCCGTTCTCAAAAATACTTTCTCTTTCATTTTTTCCACTTCCAACAAAACACTTCCACTTTCTATTAAAAAACCACTTTTACCCTTACTTTTTCATACCCTACCTATTACATCATACTTTTTCTCTAATAATCTACATCACATCTTACTTTTACACATCATATCAGGGGCAACATTGGAAGTCAACTATAATTTTACACTTTTTTATTTTGACTCCAAGTCAAACTAGGAAGCTTTTATTAGAACGGAGGGAGTATTTGTCTAACTAGCTTGTCTCTATAGTTAGGTTTTAGAGTATGCTGTTTAGCTCCTTTTTTTTCTTTTTTTTGAAGGCATGCTGGTTAGCTCTTTTGTTTATGAATGCTGTTTGGTTTGGATGGTTTCATTCGATCTTTAATAATTTTGCATTCGGTTCGAAAAACTTGTGTTCAAATGGTTTGGTTATAAATAAAAAATGAACATATAATTAAAATTTACTCGTAATATTTAGTTCCTTTTTATTTTCTTAGAGATGTCATTTTGGTTTAGTGCTCGTTTTACTATGTTTGATTTGGTTTGATTTAGTTTTGAAAGTATAGTGAGTAGACAATTATTGTACATTGACAGTGATCCGTTTGGTACACGGAATTCAAACTATGGAATTAAAATTAGAGACAACATTTCCATTTCCAATTCTGTTATTTGGTAGCACAAAAATATGTAGATTTGGAATTGGTATTGCCAAAAATGAATTTCAACTCCCAATACAATTTCAATTCCATCAATTCCGTGTACCAAACGGACCCTGATAGTAAACAATAGTAGTCTTTTTAAAATCGAAATTAAAGTGGGTAGGATAGACTTTGTTTTAAAAAAAAGTATCTAAGACCTCTGATATTAAACAAAACAAAACACATGCAGACCTTGTTTTGCCACCATTGATATTGAACAAAACAAAAATGAGCACAAATTCTAAGCACAATGCAGACCTTGTTTTGCCAAAAAGCATTAGTATTCTGAGGACTCACCTGATTGCAATTCACAATCAACTCCACCAGGTCTTTGGGTGCTGAT